CAAGAAATACGTTTTCTGGACACTACTGTAAAAATACACAATGGATGCATAGTAAAGGTAAAGGTCCCCTTGCTCAAAAGCCAGTCTAATCCGACTCTAGGGTTGCGGTGCTCATCTCCGTTTCCAAGGCGAAGAGCCAGTGCTGTCCGAAGACGTTTCCGTGGTCATGTGGCCGGCATGACTAAACACCAAGGTGCACAGAACGCTGTTACCTTCCCACTGAAGTGGTCCCTATTTATCTACTTGCAATTTCTTGCTTTCGAACTGCTAGGTTGGCAGGAGCTGGAACTAGAGACGGGAGCTCACTCCGTCATGCGGCACCCGGGTCTTGAACTGCTGAACTACCGACCTTCCACAGCCTGCAGTTCAGCGTCTTAACCACTTGAGCCACCGCATAGACACCACTTTATTCCGGAAACCTACTGACTGACAAATATACCTACATGCCTCCAGCCACCACCCTAAACATACTAAATGATCCATTGTATACAGCCAGGCTCTACACCACAGCCGCATCTGCTCCAGTCCTACAGACAGAGACTCTCACCTGAGGGATCTACAGCAAACCTTTTCAGAACTAAAGAGTCCACCTGATGAATTCAAGAAACAGATTAACAAAGCTAGAATGGTACCCAGAGAAAACCTGTTGCAAGACAGGCCCCAAAGAGACAATAATATAACACCACTAGTGGTCACTAGGGCTCTCAACTCAAAACAGTTTGACGCATCATCAGCGACTTACAACCTCTACTGGATAATGACAGTTCTCTTTTACACATACTGGGGTGAATGTAACGTAATTTGGAATGGTAGATTGGAATGTATTTGTCTGGTCTGGGAACAGGGGAGATAATTCTACACAGCCAGTCACCCCACCTCAAAGAAGAAGATGCTGTAAGGTTGCCTCCATGCTTGTGAGGAGATGGATGGAGCATAATGGCAGGGTCTCAGTTAATTACTCAGTTAATTACTCTCAGTTAATTACTCTCAGCAGTCCATCAATCTCCAATTTTGACTTATTCATTTCCTTCACTATGTTTCCCCCCAGAATTAAACCCAAACAAATGGTAACCGACTGTATAAACTAAGCTTATTATTCCTGTTTGGTCCTTGAATCTGTTAAATATCTTCATTATGCTGCATGCTAATTTACTGCTTACCCTCTACCTATATGTACAGACTGTTAATTTCCATTTCATTGTACCTGAAGGAGTGTGTGTGCACATAAAAGCTTATACCTTGAATAAAACTTTGTTGGTCTTAAAGATGCCACTGGACTCAAACTTCATTCAAATGGAGATGTTGCATTTCCTTAGGTCTTCTTCTGTAGCAGTAGTCCAGGCCCTCTTTAGCTGAACTGTTTGAAAGCATCCCAAAAGCATGGAAGCCAAGCTATGTGGGGAAGGAAGAAAATTGGGGGCAAAGCACCCAAGTATGTTCTAAAACATGAGGGCCCGGTAGAGCTAACAATGGCCCCCTTTCCCCGCAGGGAAGGAAGAAAATTGGGGACAAAGCACCCAAGTCTGCTCTAAAACATGAGGGCCTGGTAGAGCTAACAATGGCCACCTTTCCCCTCCTTCATGGAGATAGCTGGAACTCAGATGCTGTGATGCACCGAGACCAAAGTAGGTTGGATTCAGGACAGGGGATGAAGCGCCAGTGTGTTTTTCTCATGCACACGGGATGGAGCGGTGGGAAACAAGCAAACAATTGCTTAGCGTGTAATGAGCGCCCCAGATTTATAGGGCAACCCTAAAAATATTTTTCTTAGAATAAGCCCCACTAAAAAGTGATCTGAGTATGATTCTCTGGGTAGACGAGTTTAGGATTGCTCTTTTATGAAATCTAATTAACGTTCAATGGGCTAGTCCAAGAAAATGATAACACCAGTAAATGGAGGAGAAAAAGCAAACCCAAATGAATTTTAGAAGGTGTTGGTCTATTGGAGGAAATAACAGTACTGGGAATTAAGTCAGACAACAAGTTCCATTTTAAAAATTTAAATTCTCCATCTTTTTTTTTTCTGGCAATGCTCTCTAAAGTCCAACCATTTCATTTGGAAATTACAGAGCTCCGTTTTGACAGCAGGCTCCTCCAGCAAGCATTAGGACGGTAGCGGGGGTATGGAGGCATGACGGTTTCAAAGCACTACTACACCTCTGTGGACTTATCTGGGGTTCTCTGCAGACATCTGTACAGTTACTGTGGCTAATTTAAGAACTGCAGTTGGGAACCGGACGTGAGGTCTGCTTGTTTTTTATACCTCTTAGCAGAGGACCAGTTTCCCTCCCACCCCACATAGCGAGGGCAGGTGACGCCTGAACTGTCATGTTTGTGGGAGTCAGTTCCTCCCCTTCGGAGCTTCCGGCGACGTATTTTGTATGTATTTCCTGCATCGGCAACTTATCCTTGCTACTTGTTGGTTCTTCCAGGGTTGTAATGGCCCCTGGTGGCCTCCGAGGAGTAAAACGCAGAAAAAGCGAAGATCTCCGTGCAGTGCGGAAAACAGACGTCAGTTAGTTGCTCTCGTTCATTGTTTTTGAATTAATCTTCCTACCGGGAAATATTTGAAAACTCACAAAGACTTTTGCCCGAGTTTCTAGTATTAAATGTGATACTATAGATTCAGCCTTCCAAAGCTGACATTTCCTGCAGGGGAACCGACCTCTGAGTCTGGAGATATTATTCCACAATTCCCAAAATCCACGGGCAAGTTGGTAACCATATAAATAGTTGGGTTTTATGGAGGTTTTTTTTTAGAATTTTGCACAATTAAACATTTCTTAAGCTCTCCCCCCAGGTGGATAATTAACCATTTATTCTTAAATGCCACAAGACAAATGGCCAGCCAGCCAGGAGATGGAAGTAATGAATTAGGATACAACAAAGCTGCAAAGGGAAAAAAGGCAGGAGGGCAGGATCTCTACTGGAGGAAATTTATTTCTGAGATGACATACAGTAAGTTTTTCATTCGTTGTGATTCCTCTTGCACCTTCAGCAGTGCAAAAATGGTCCTCATGTGGCATGACCCTGGCACTTCTGGGGGGGGGGCATGCACAGTGCAGGGTTTTCATGTGGCATGACCCTGGCACTTACTTGGGGGGGGGGGACATGCATAGCACAGGCTACAAGCACATGTTACAGCAGAACTCTACAGTGGTTTTCTGTTCAGATATAAGCAGATCTTTTAAGGTGTACACAGACTTGCAACCTGCATCTGAAACCTGTTAGAATCAGATATTGGTTTTATAACTCAGTTGTGTAACCTACATTTTGAGATATCCCATATTAGAGGTATTTCTCTCTCTCGAGTGTTCTTGGTAATAGTTATATCCAACTCTGTTTTTAAGGATTTGCTTCCAAAGCACTTTTCATGAAGGCACAATCTGTTTTGGCAGAATGGACACTTCCAGCAGCTGCAAGTTCACTATTTTTTAAAAATCCAATTATTTATAATTCATTTTAGAAACTTCAAAACACTACATGAATATCCAGTTTTGTCTGTATATTTTATTTTCTATAGAGAATTAGGACATTTCACGATACATTAATCCCACTTAAAAATACAAACCCAATTATTTATATATTATTTGTATATGACATTTTGCAGGAAATACCTCTTTTCTAGATGGTTGTTGACACGATGTCTGAAACTGAGGTTTTACATGCAAGCTTACCTGACAGCTACACGAGGCAATCCTTTTCCTAAATCCATATGTGTGGTAGAGGGTTCGGTTTACATGTTAAAAGGTATTCTTAATTATGATTACTTCACATATTTCATTGCTATCACAGCTGTCCTTGAAAAAGAGCAGTTTGTGTCAGAGTTCTCTCAGCCCCACCCACCTCACAGGGTGTCTGTTGTGGGGAGGGGAAGGGAAAGGAGTTTGTAAGCCGCTCTGAGACTCCAAGTGAAGGGCGGGGTATAAATCCAATCTCCTCCTCCTCCTCCTCTTTATCCTGCCCTACTGGTTTACCTTTGCTACAACCCCATGAGTTATGTTAGGTGCATTCCAAGGCTAAATCCTGTTGCTGAATTCGTTTTAGGTGGGAGAACCTCTGCTAAGAATACAGTCCAGCTCAGTCTGGCTTATATTGAATTTCAAAAGCACTCTAAAAACATGACACACATAGGGAGCAATTCTAAGCAAACCTCATTCCTTACTCCCAAACAGCCTTAGATATTAGGGAAGAACACAGGAGAAGAAAGAACACTTTTAGTTCCTTGATGATTCTTGAGGTAATTATTGAAGGATTTATTCAAAATCTGTTGAAATAGTAAAGATGTGCATTTTAAAAACAATATATATATATTTGCCATCCTCTAGGCATGGAGCAAGGGTCACTGGGTGTGTATGGGGGGTATTTCCTACATTGTGCAGGGGGTTGGACTAGATGACCCTGGAGGTACCTTCCAACTCTATGATTCTATACTGAAAACACTGCAAAGGTAGTTCCATTTCCAGCTGTATAGGGAGTAAGACTGCAGATATTCCAATGGTATTATTCAAAGCATTTCAGTTTTACCATGAAGTTAAATGTTCCTGTTGACAACTATCTAATGAAAAGCAACATTTTCTTTATATGAAATAGAAATACACACAGAAAGACCAAGCCACATGCAAAGATTAAATGAAAGATGGTTTTAAAATGTAGTTTATTTCCCTTCTGTGTTTCAACATAAAACAGCTGGTAGAAATATAAATACTATATGACAAGCAACAATGTTAAAAAATTAAGACATATATATATGGCTTTGACAAAATTAACAAAACTGGAATTATCCTCATAGGGTATAATAAGTGCAGTCAGCAATCCTATTGCAGTCCATGAGTAAAGTTAAAAATGGCTTTTAAACCACTATTTTATATTACTTTTAAAAGTTTCTATTGCATTTCCTCATTTCCCTCGAAAGTAAACCCATATGTGAGTTACATTTTTTAATGTTAAGTGCACATGAACAAGTCATCAGAACAAATTCCTAAATTCTGAATTGTCTATTTTTTTAAACAAACCTGAGAAATCATCTGTTTACTTAATGTTTTTTGGTTAAGTGCAATTTCATGTGTGCAAAGTGCTCTTTTCATTTAATATCATTTATATAAGGCATATTAAAGCAAACATACAAAAGTAATATTATTGCAAAGTACCTAAGCAAAACTATGCTTTTTGCTCATAATCATGGATTTCATCCATTTTGCAGGCTTATTTGCTGAATCGTGTGCAGTAAGTTTATATACCCTGATCATAAAATGCTACTGTGGTGCAATCATGGTCCTGCTAAGTTGCTACATATTAAGGATTTTGCTTCCATGCTCAAACACAGCTTGAACAAACTGCTTGAAGACTCTGTCCATGTACGTGCATTTTCTTGGCCACAATCCTTCCAGAAAACCAATATGGCCTCCACAGGAAGTAAGAACCAAAGCCACGTTTGGATTTTGTTTCGCCATTTCCACTGGTAGGGCTAAAAGGAGAGGAAAGTATAAGTCGCCATTCCCAATGTTGTTCTCTCTCAGAATTATTAGGCTTCCTGTAACTTAGTGAAAGCTAACTGCAATATATGTACAGAATGCTGCTTTATTAAGAGAGTTCTTGAAATTTTATTTGCCAGCTCACCATTCTTTTGGCCCTTGGGTCAAAAAGTTGCCTAAGCATGCTGTAGAGGGTTATGGGTATAATACCTGTTACATTTTAAACTATTTACATTTATTTACACTGCACTTTAATGCAATATTGGTTCTCAACCTTTTACAGACTTGCAAGATGTCTGATTCTTTCATTTTCTATTACTCAAAGATATGACAAAATATTCTTTTAGTGAAGTGGCTTCTGCCACTTTCCAGGAAGGGTTGAAGTTGCTTAAACAAACATAAAGTTGCTTAAACAAACATGAAATGTCACTAAGGCAACGTTTATGTGGCAAGTGAAGGGGAAAGTTCTTTTGGATACATGTATGCAAGACAAATATTGAGGCTGGCATGATAGGACACATGCTGAAGCCCAAGGCCCAACAGGTGGCCTGGCACTGAACTGTAATACTTTGTCCATTAAGGGATGGGAGTTTGCCCCAGGTGCCCCTTTGATATTGCAAGGGCCTCTCTTTTCTGACAGGAGCAGCAACAGTTCAGTCATATGAGAACTGCATTTCATTCTCTTCCAGTCACTCCCCCTACCAGGAGACCGTGATGTCACAGGACTCAGCCTCTGAAATAGTCCTGCATTTTCTGATCAAAGGGATGTTAAGGGACTGCAGCAAAACAGCCATATTCACCTGCAGGAGCTGCATTACAATTCCTCGCCTCCCACTAGATCTCTCTCCCTTTAGAAAATGGGAAACCTAACACATTTCTGAGAGTCTTGGTCATTCTTTGATCACGGAGAAGGAATGAAACAGTGATTCTCTGCCTCCCTTTAGCTTCACCAACTCCAGGGAACTAGGTAGACGGAGGAGGGTGGTATTGGTGTATGTGAAGAAGGCAGATGGATTGAGAGAGAATGAGACATGGTGGTATGTTTATAAGCGAGCACTGGAAGTCACCTTGTCTAGATCCTCTCAAAATTTGGAGCTGGACCTACATGCAGGCTCTTACCTACAACCTCAGAGACCATGTCCTTCCAGTCTCACAGCAAAATGTCTGCTGTCTACTTTTGTATTTAAACATTATGGGAGGGGGAAAAGCCTTACCATGATTTGGTGAGAAAACGTCATCCATCGAATTTAAGCACAACACTGGAATTCCAACTGTCTTCAGTCTACGGAATGGACTAGCATCTGAATAGTAATCATCAATTGTAGGATAGCCAAACATGACAGAAGTGAATTGTTTATCAAATTCCCTGATGGTCTTAGCCTGAATGCAAGACAATAATTTCCGTAAGAGCTAGTAAAACCAAAATACAAAATGCAAATGAAATACAAAACATGCAGTTAGTTCTCATACCTTCATGACAAGGTTCATATTAAATAGCTTTTCAAACATTTCCCGATGTCTATAAAAAATGAAAGAAGGGGGCAGTCTTAAAACTGGATCAGAATACCACAAAGATAATAAAAAATACACGCTTTGAATAAAACAACTGATTATAACCCAGGTCATATTAACCTGAAAGATGGAGGCATCTGCACACAGCCATGTGTGAAGTTGCACCAGGTAGGTCAGCTTGAGTGTAACCAGGTGAGCAAAGCCAAAATGAGGGCTTTACTTATGTGGTTAAACTCAGGCTGATCTCTGTGATGTCTGCTTCCACACATATGGAAGGATGTTCATGTGGCTTGCAGCCAGCTTTGACTATGGTAAGTAGACACCAAGCTTCCCAAACTTATAGGTAGCTATAAGACACTGTCTGGCCCATGGCTCATGCTTATAACTATTATCTTACTTTTGGTCACAAAGAAAGAGAAGGCTGTTATTTAAGAATGCACAATTTATACGTTGAAGCCCTTGATAGTGTATGCTGGTTGACCAAATGCATACATTGTACTTAGACTGAAAGAAGCCCATCAAATGCGACACATTTTTATGCCAGGTACTTCTGTATTACAAACATCAAAGGAAGGTTATTCACTTAATCAGGTCATCCTTAACATTTATTACAAGAGACTTGCTGTTTATCCTAACATGCTGTGATCTTTTAAACCTGATGTGAGGTTGACTCACCTAATCACTGAAGACTGTAGACAGCTAGTTAAATAATAATTAAAGAGAAGCCAGTTCACAGGTTTTTCCAGTGAGTCTACACAATCAAAATCATTCCATCCTGCTGTCTGCATTCAGTGGTGTTTCTGTGCCAATGCTACCCAAATAGTTGACAAGAAGCATGCTGCAAATAAGATAAAACAATTGATTCAGATTATGTTTCATCATGCTTATCGGTGCATATTTCTGTGGCACCTCAACCCTATGAGACTAGAATCCATGGCAGAGTCAGGGTGTAGAAGACCTGCTGAAGTCTGGCAGTCCCTTAACAGCAGGGAGCACTTGTGTAGCCACCTACAGGCCTCGGACTGAGAGGAAAGGAGTTTTCCCATTACCCAGGTTCTTCACCTCTCTCCTGACCCTGCTCCCGTCAGCCTCAGAAACAATAGTGTGCCCTCCCTGTCCTACTTCCTCTGCCTTATGAAGGGCCTGGCTCATCGTGGGGCCAACATCTTTGGAGGCTCCACCCCTCTGGAACTTCCATGGGATCTGAGCAGTTGCTGCAAGAAGCTGTTGTCACCCCTACATCCTAGCTGCAACTCATCTCCTTGTTTCCCCACCCCTCAGGGTTGTATCCCAGCTGCTCCTCACGCAGTAGGCTGTTAAAGGGCCAGTCCCTCTCAAGCAGGGAAGCAGTGGGCTTTGCCTGAAAGGCACCACATGTGTTGCTGCTTTGGCTCATGGACACAGAGGGTGGGTCCCTGGCTACCCTCAGAGTTGAGGAACCTGGGGTTTGCTCAGGCCCCTGACACAGGATAACATCATGTTCTTTGATACAGTGCCATTTTTTTTTTGTTACTGGCATATCCTAAGGTACATGAAGCCACAGCCTCTGGACATTAATAACCTTGCAACTTGCAATCCATTAAATGATCACATGGATCGAGTCTTTGCTCCTTCAGTAAATATGTCATATCATTGTATGAAGTGGCACCTTTTATCCTCCACCCCTCTGGAGGGCACTTCACCCATTGAAGTTTCAGGTGCACACTTAGGATGCTGGAAAATGGAAACTGAATTGAGCAAACTTGTATTTTACCTCTTCGTAATATATGAAATGGTTGTGAAAATGAATATAGGAATAGTAGCACAGCTCTGGTAGGAAGAGATGAAAAATGGTTAGGGACGAATGTGTTCCATTCAATATATACAATAAGGACGAGATGAATAGAGGAGAAAGTGAAATACTGTTTTGCTGGTTCAAGGACCAATGTGGATAGACAGAAGGTTGCTGCTGTTATTTCTTTTTACATTTCCCCCCCAAATCAAACAAAAAAAAATTGCTTTTGCACCTGTGTGTACCTTGGAAGTCTCTTAATCACAGCTCCAATATCAAACCCCCAAAAGAATATAAAGGAAACAGTAACAGACAGTAGATCATCTTCACTAACAAACAAAGCTAAACAGCTCTCCCTCATAGTCTTATAACCTATGAAAACAGTTGGCAGACCAACTGTTACTACAAAATTAATTCAAAAAACTAAGATAAGAGTCTCTCCTGTCAGAATCCTGCAATGTGGTTGACCTGATGCTTTGTGATAATCTGATCGTAAAATGGTGGTCAGGATGTCCCTCAATGGCACTTCACGTCAGTTGGAGGGCTGCAATTTAAACTGACTCCCATTTTCAGCCTCAACTACCTTCTGCCAACAAAAGTCATTTATTGCAGGTATTAGATCACTTCAACAGGCTGCAACACAAAAACTTGCTTACGATTAATGGTAAATACAAGTGATTGTGGAGAAGAGCCACCTGTCCCAGAACAATTTAAAACAAATTGTGCCTACTGTATACCTCTTATTGTTGCAGGAAAATGTACAACCAGGGCACAAAACAAGGCAGTACATTTTCCACTGAGTCTGCAGTATACAAGAAGAATCCTTCATTACGGCTTTTGGAAATTCGTAATAACTGGAGATCTTCGCTAGCAGAATGTCTGTTACATAACTACTTACCCTCCCATAGAAACACCTGCTGCCATAAATGGAGCTGAGGAATACAAGCTGTGTACATGATGAATAACAGCTTCCAAGTCCTCTGTATTAGAAGCACAATATGTCCTCGGTGTCTGCAAGGAGCACAAAGTAGAAAAGAACACAATAAGCATTTGTTTTATCCTTAAATTAGGGTCAAACCCAAGAAGCACCAGGATGGTTTATGTAGCATCAGAATATAAAAAGATTAGAAACATCCTGGAGTTTGCTAAAAGTCTAACAAGTCAACAGCTAAGGCTTCAAATGTATATACTTTGGGGCAGGAAATGTACTAATATTTTACCAAACAACTTGCAAAAACTCTCATCATGCAATGAAATCTTGGTAAAGTAGTATTAATACAAGATTGTACTTCATCTAATAGGCATACCATGTATACTCACACTTACCCTTATGAACTGGATTGCAAAAAAATGTTTACAGTCGGATGCAGCATCACTGTACTAGCATAATACTGCATACACACCCGCTGCTAACTGAAAGCATTGTAAAACGGGTAAGCACTTCGACACTAGGAGCACCATCACTGGAAGCATCTAAGCAGCTATGCAAAGTTGTGCAAAAAGTAGAAGCTGGGTAAAAATCACCTGAGGGAAGATTTTCAGGGAATGGGACTGGTTAAGTATTTGTTCTTCCCATCACAGTTCCCTGTAAGTGCCCCACAGCCCCATTATCTCTGCAGATCTGAGACTATGCATTTGCCCACATGTCTAGTTCTGCCTTAAGAACATGCATGGTTACTCCTCCTGAATTTAAGTACATGCTGTAAGCCATTGCTGTATGAAGATTTGAACTAGGGACTCTCAGGCTGTGATCACACACACCTTTAGATATGACATAGGTGCGAATGCCTGACGGATCTAAAAGGCGTGATCAGACAGCAACACCTGGGAAGCATCCCACTGTTGTCGGCAACCCGTGCTGCTCCGCCGCAGAAGCGGAGTGAAAAGATACCAGGGAAAGTCCGGCTCTAACAGGTTCCGACGGACCACAGACAGACTTTCCCGTCTGATCGCACAAGCACGCACTTATGCTGTTGGGATGGTCTGATCATTCCATCCTGGCTCGATACTGTTTCCCCCCCTTCTCACTATGCGCATCATCACATACTCCACGGGGGCCCTCAGTGCGGAGGTGCGATTCCTCGTTTATACGCATGGGAAACAAATGGCCAAAAAAACCCTGACTCACCCGCAGTTGCGTCTGATCACACAGTGATGGGCTGAGCCCACAGCTACAAAGGGATGTGTGATCTTGCAACTGCGTGTCAAATTCCTCCGGAGGAAATAGCCTCGCTTCCCCTCCACTCCAACTGGCGCATGTGACCGCAGCCTCAGTTCTAGCTCATGCTCATCCCCAGTATGTCATACCATTGGGTAACATCCAGCACAAGGATTGTGAGTGTCTTCCACTTTTCCATCCCTGCAGCGGTCCTTTTCAACCCGGGAAAATTTATTCCTGCGGTTGCAACCCACATGGACTAAGTAATAGCCAGACTGGTTGATAGACTGCGATGAAGAGGGCGAAGGGGGAGAACTTGGGGGGCTCTGTTGATGAAAGAGGCAGAAAGGGTGATTTCATCCCCTTCACCTTTCTCACTGCAGCCTCCCAACCATGTAGCTATTAGTTCAGGTGAATCCTGCGACTGCTGTGGAGAGGGGAAACTGGAAAATCCATGACTGTCCACTGAGGATGGATCACTGGATCCAACCCACTGCATTTTTAGTTAAAGTTAAACAAATTGTTTTAATCTCAGCACAATAAAACAATGAATTTATGTTACTCATATTTGCTCTCATGAAATATTCACATTTAAATTCTAATTCAGGTATATGTATATTTACTTGGCAATAAATACAACTGGAGTCAGTGGGACTTCTGTAAAAACAGACATAAGTTTATCGACTGTAAGCTCCATCTAAAATATCCCTGTTTTTATTATTATGGGTACAAAATGGTACAGGGTAACAGTTCAGTTCTAGTTTAGGAAAGAATGCCTAGCAGGAAGCATTCTACCTCTTGGAATTTAGGCTTCTTGTAGAATAAAATTATTGTCCTTGAATGGTATTCGTGAAAACCCCAGACGACAAACCTCCATTTTCCCCCAGTTCGTGCCTACCCCTAGTAGCAAGTGGTTGCTGCTGGGCTTGCCCCAATGAGTCCTTCCTCCATGGCAAGAAAGAGGAGAGCAGAGGTGTACTGGGAGGCCAATATAGTCCTGAAAAAAGGCCCTGCCCCTGCCTTTTACTAATAGAAACCAGGTTTAAAGGCTGACAGTGCTTCTGTAGTTGTCTAGCAATCCCCACAATGGCCACTGAGATCTCCTTTCTTAAAGGTAAAGGCACTGCTTCTATTATTTTGGTGCTTTGTAACCCCTCCACACACACACCCCATTTTTTTTCTTTTAGATTTCAGATTTGTCTCCAAATCTGGGGCTCTGCAAACCTCAGCAGATATGGATGGAAGACAGCATGATATAGCCCAATCTTGGAAGCTAAACAGGGTCAATACTTGGATAGGAAACCACCAAGAAAGACGCTGCAAAGTAAAGCAATGGCAAACCCCTCTGTTTTTCACTTGCCTTAAAAGCCACTTGGCTGAGGTTGCCACAAGTTGGTGGTGAATTGATAGCAATTATGTACATTTATAACCTGAGCAGAAACCATCAACAGAATTATGGGCCAAGACTTTTAAGATCTTGATAATTTATACAGCCTTTCACTAAATTCAGATTATGAATACAAGTCTATCATCTTGTTTAGTGTTCCTGGGGATAATAGGATGCTTCTTTTAGAATGACATAAATGTTAATGTGAAAAGTTCAATTGATCTTGGACTTTGTGGCTTTTCTATGCTAGATGACAGCATAGCATCTGAAAGATGAATTTTGGCGTATTTCTAGATTTAGTGTTGCTGATAGAATCCCTTTATTGACTTAGGTTGTTTCACCAACTGTAAACACATCTAGAGAATGGTGACCTGACAACTGTCATACATACCTTTGTAAGCTCCAGCCTGGGCCACTGTAGTTGACTCCACTCTGCACCAGGAAGCCTTTAAAGATTTTTCAAAATTTTTACTACTAACATGCCTACTAGCGGAAGTGAGCTGAAGTGGCCACGTTACACCTCTGCTGAGAAAAGTGCAGGGGCTGCCTGGGGTTTCCTGGCACAATAGAAGGTGTTGGCTTTAATCATGAAAGCACTAACCCTCACATTCCCATCTGTCATGCAGGTCGACAGTAACCTGTGTAAGCTGAGATCAAAGCACAATAGGAAGAATGCACTGAATGGGCTGATAGGCAAGGTGATGCATCTTTAGGCAAGCAGATTAAAAAAAAAGGAAAGAAAGTTTGCTCAGGGCCTTTTTAAAAAATTAAATATATCTGGAGCAGGAAACCAGCCAGAGCAGCAGGGGGGCCTTTGGATGACATCCAATCAATTTATTTCTACAGTCCTTAGACCAGTCATACAAAAAGAAGTACACCTTTACAATATTCCAAGATTTTAAGATACATCAGTGACACATTAAAAGCAAATTAAAATTTAATCTAATTTCAAACAACTATATCTAACTAGCTACCTTAGAATTTCTGTGATCTGAGTATCACCATACAGAAACTGGCTACTTGGTGGGTAATTTTGGGGTTTCTATCAGATAGAAGAAACTCGAGTCTAGCTTTTTCGGAAAGACCCAAAATTTGTTCAGTCAGCGGAATGATTTTATTACGCGCCACTTTATAATACGGACATCTAAAAAACATGTGCTCTGTAGTCTCAACCTCCCTTAATGGGCAGGTACAAAGCCTTTCTGAGAAAGGAGTATTCTTGTATTTTCCTTCAAGTACAGCAGAAGGGAGGAGCTCCGGTGGCTCAAGTGGTTAAGACGCTGAACTGCAG